CTGAATGAGTGGGCCACAGAGACACTCTTTATGCTCTGCCTAAAGAATGGTAAGCTTTAAAACAAGGGTATTTTATCATCTAATGCTCTGGCTAGGTTTGCTCCAAGCCTAAAGCATTAAATCACTCGGGAAACGATTTCAATAAACGAATCTACTCTTAATCAATGTGTTCGCCTTTATAGAAATATCTGACCGACCTTCAAAACTCTTGCAACTTGTGCTATCTGATCAGAAGATATGAACACAGGCTCCAGGTTTCTTCCTCATACTAAGTCGTAAGCAATGTCTCTGCCATTAATTTCTGCTTCAAAGTCTGCTTAAAAAGAAACCCTCATCACTTCTAATCACCACTCAGCATCCATGCACACTCTCCTGTTCATGAAGAGACTTTTCTACGTGTGGGATTGAATTCCAATGACAGCCACATAGTGGATCAATTTCATCTTACACAAGTCTTTATTTTTGGCCTGTAAGCTAAATAGGATACATGAGAATCTTTGGAGAATCCTCAGATAACCCTTGCCTCGGTATGTGTGCGCCTACAACCACTGTCTCTAACTTTTGTTCACTCTCCCAAGCCTTCCTGAGCCACATATTGAATTCATCCTGCTTCTTGCCAAACCAATTAGAAGTCATCTCTGTGCACTATCTAGTCTACATTTGTATCATTATGACTATTTGATATCCTCAGGGAGCACAGGTGAGGTCATCATGATGGCTGCCTAACCAGTTCTTCCAGTGGCTCCCCCAGGTCCTGGAGGGCAACCTCACTACTCACAGTGGGGTCCATGACTAGTGACATCAGCATGATCTGGGGGTCTGTGAGAAGCGCATCATCATAGGCCCTTTTCCAGATCCACTGAATCATAATCTGCATTTTAACAGAGTCCCCAGGAGTTTTGGATGTGCATTAAAGCTTGGAAGCCCTGATTTACAACTCACTGAGAAATTTTACTCCAGTCAAAAAAATCCCAGTGGGCAGGCATAAAGTATGATGATTTTTCAATGAAATATAGAGTAAGAGCCAGATAACCAAATATTGGGGCAGGGTATCTCTGACCACAGCTATAAAAAAAGGGAGAAAACACAGGGAGTTAGTTTTCTTCCCAAAGACACCCCTATGGACCTCATTCCAAATGAGGAGGGGGAGGAGAAAGAGCTTAGACAGCAGAGAGAGCCAACATTTACCCACTCTCTTTAGGAACAAAACCCTGACTTAGTCTTCTCCTTAAGGGGCCAAGTCTAGAACGCTCACGTAGTAAAATAAGGAAGGGTAGAGCCAGTCTGCAATAAAAGCACCTTTGGGTGGAAATTTTCTCCCTCCCTGATGGCTACAAAGCATAAACACAAAGGGAGGTGAGAAATGTGCACCCCCTTTACGATACCCTCAGTGCCTGCCTAAGAAGAGGACAACACTGCGTGCCTACCGTGTGCCCGGCACTGTATCGGCCACGTCAGATATGCTCAACTTCACAACAACCTTCTAAGTAGATACTAGAACCCTCCATTTTACAGAGGAGGAAACTCACATCCCACACTCCCAGGTGTGAAGAAAATTACTCGAAGCCACACGGGTCATGGTGGATGGAACTCAGATCTGAAATTAAATCAGATCAGAGTCCAAAATCCAAACCCTTCCCGCTATATCAAAGCTTCTGTTTAAATAATGTGGAGAGTGGGGACTAACTATGCATAAGATTCCAAGCTCAAATGTCAGATCTGAATGAGTCATTTGGATTGAGAGCAAGTAACAGGAGTTTATCTCATTAAAAGTAAAATCTTAGTGGTTCCACGTATTCCACTTAATAGTCTCTGTTCAATGGCTTCTACAGAAAACATTCAAAGGGGTGCCTTTATTCTTCACTGTTTATAATTTCTGCATGCCTTCAGCTAGGCCCTGCCTAGTACCAGGGCAGGGACACCTTTGGGAATTAGAAGCTGATCTCTTAGAGGTAGGATGAAGCAACCTCAAAAAGGAGCAAGGGGCAGAAATGCAAGACCAAGTGTTTCTCCACTTTTCATCATTTCATGGGTGCTCAAGGTATTCTCCTTTATAGGGGGAGAGGCTATGCTTTACTTCTCAGTCCCACACCTCACGCCCACCAGGTTACTAAGGAGGATCCACGTCGTCTTGAGCTCTGTAACTCACTACAAGGGGTAGCCAGCCCCTCTGTTTCCCCGACCTCCAGAGAGAGCTGATACTTTATGCAACGTCCCTAGATTCTAGCATAACAGGATGTTAATGAGACTCTTCCTGCCTTGGTAACTGACACCAAAGTGGATTGCAAGGCACTCAGAGGCAGAATTCACAAAGGAACTAGCTGAGAACTGGACCCATGTCCTTCGAAATGCCTGATTTACCTTGAAACTTTAAGAGGTCCCCAGGAGGAGACAGCAAGGAAGGACTTACAAAGAACTTTCCTTAGGGAAGTGCTGCATGGCATGCCACCACCCCACCAAAGGCTTCCGCAGAGCCACCTGGAGAGCTTGAAGTGTGTTTCCTTTAGGAGGATGGCTCAGAGGACAGGGCCTGACTCTTGCCAGGGAAGGAGAAAGAAACCTGCAGCTGCAGGATGTAGGTGGCCTTTGGTTCCACCTGTACACCCAGGGGACAAGGGATCATGAGTGCTCCCTGTGGACCAGGCAGAGGCAGCACAGAAGAAAGCCTGTGTGGGGAGCATTAGGTCTTGTCAACAGGGCCTCCTGGAGAGAAAGAGGGACCCCCACAATGCAAAGCTCCTTCCTGGAGGAAGAAGTTGCTTCCACCAGCTAGAGCAGAGGTATGTTTGTTCATGCCATGGAAACTGCGGAGAAAGGAATTGCCAAGAACCCACAGAAGTATCCAAGAAAGAAAGTCCAGTACCAGCACTGAACATTCCCAGGTCTCAACAGCAAGCAAAGTTCCCTGCCATCCCCCACCCCCAACCCCTTCCACCTGGGCAGCAGAGGGGATGAAATCTCAGCAAACTCCATCCCCCATCCCATTCTTCCAGCCTAAACCTGGCTGGCCAGGAGACCAAGTCCAGAGTTTTAATTTCTAGCTCAAATTGGACATGCTATTTCTCAGCTGAGCTTCTGACTGCAGCCTAAAATGACCAAAAGATTGTTACTCAGTCAGGAGCAAAAAAATTTTGCATAGCTGAGTTCTCCTCTAGAGCAGGGAGGCTCACCCTTGGTTACTCATTGGAATCACTGGGGAATCCTAAAAACAAAAAATGCTAACACTTAAGTCCCATGTGGGAGCCACTGAATCAGAATTGCTAAAGGCAGGCAACAGAATGTGTATTAGAAAATATAATAAAATAAAATAATAGTGAAAAGCCCCTAGTTGACTCTAATGTGCAACAAGGTGCTGGAAGCTACTGCTTTGGGAGCCCAGGAAGACTCCCCCTAGTGAGTCCATTGTAAAGGGACAATGGAAAAATAAAATAAAACTACCACAGTTTGATTGTCACAAGTTACGCTCTTCAGTGTGCTGGAAAGATGTATACTACAGTGCTCTAGGTTTCATACTGAAGCTGAAAGTTGCTTTCAATACAACCCCAAACTAACCAGACCTGGGTTAAAAGTTCTTAAATGTGGGATCCAAAATGATCAATTTAGTGTCTGCAGTCTGAGAAAGTCTTTTCTCCCTTTCTCAGCTACTAGCCAGGTTTCCAGAGATTAACAGACGGGGAAGGCATTGGCGTGGTGTCTGGGGTCCTGCTGACGTTAAAGATCTGATAGCACCTGTCCTTCCACATTGGCGCCCGGCTGGGGCAGTGGTGGAGTCTGCATGGGCCAGCAGTCTCAGGAGACAGGACGTGGGGATCTTGGTTTGTTGGGCCTCTCCCCTTTAATGTCTGCCTCCCATCCTCACGCCTTGGGAGAGGCACCCCCTTGGGCTGGGCTGATGCTGGATCAAAGTCTATCTGCCCCACCCATCCCCCAAGTGGGGATCAGAGCGTCTGCTACCCTGACCCAGTGTCCCAGTGTAGCACACCATGGGGCAATAAAGGCTCTCAGGGCTGTCATTACGCCCAATCAGACCCTCCTCTTCCATCCTCACCAATTTTTGTTTTGGGGACTTTTGGTCGACTTGTTTTTATTTATGCTTCAGTTTTGTTTTCGAAATTCTTCATTCTCTGTTTTCAAAAATGAGTTCTCAAGCAAAGTGGCCATCGCACAGAAATCTCAGTTCTAAGCTGAATGAGGGGTACACACTCTAAGGGACCCCAGAGTTGTCGCATGAGCTCTCCTGGCTCTGTGTGGAATGCAACGGGCATCAGGGTGAGCCCAGGCTGCCTGCTTCTTTCTAAGCCAGGAAACTTGCAATGTAAAAAAAAAAACAAACAAAAAAACGAGGGGGGCTGGAGGGGGATCTCAGCAAAACAGCTAGAGGAAAAGTAGGTGAAACTTCTTACCAAAAAGACTTGTGAAAGCTAAACTTCTTCATCAATTACTATATGACAACAGCAGACATACTGCTGGAATATAAAGGCCAAACTTAACCTGCTGTTCTTAACATGAAATGTATCTCTAGGCCAGAATTTTTTTCTTCTTTTGCTGTTTGTTTATTTTCCTTTAGTTTTAAAGGAGGGCAAGAGAGAAAAGAAGCAATTCTAAGAAAAGTCATTATCTGTATGCTATGGCTATGGGTCTCATCAATACCCACAAAGATTCTACCCAAGACAAGTGGGGTCAATATCTAATTGGTCCCACTGGTTTATGGCCCAGTAGGGCCATTTACATCCACTGTCCCTCTGGGCCAAGTCTCCTTATTTCCACTTTCATTTATTACTCCTTGAATAGCTAGTACTTGAGTACATAGTTAAAGGAAAAAAATAATTCTTTTCTAAAAGCAGATATTTGTATTTTAAAAACCTAGCAAAAATGAATACATGAACAAGAAGAGAGAGAGGAAAAACATCTCTATAAAATTTAGCTTCATTTTTATTTTATACAAGAAATAAAATTATTTCTTTTAAAGGGAATATTTGAGAGACTCCAAGTTATTCTTATGCCAGAAAAACAATTTTCTTTTCCTATCACTAGCTAAGTTAAAATGAACAGAGATATCAATAAAAATGAGGCCACATGGATAAAAGGAGTTCAGCTCTACCAAATATTAATGCTATATAGAAATGTTCAAAAGAAAATACATCAAAATCTTACCTAAAACAGAAGCTACTGGCTTTACACTGACAGTAAGTACTGTGTATATATCAAAGGACACAGATCACTTCTGATAGCTTTTAAACTCTAGACCTTCACCATGAATCAAGTTTCACCCTGACAGTTTCAAAAGGCCATTGACAAAATGCAAATAAAGTCTAAAGTTCAATTACTAGTAATGTACCAATATAAGTCTCTTAGTAGTAAGATGTTAGTAGTGGGGGGTGGGGTGATACTGGGAACTCTCTGTACTACCTTTGCAACGTCTCTGCAAGTCTAAAATTATTCACAAATAAGAAGTTTATTCAAGAAGGAATAAAAAGCGTTGTCCCAAATCAGAGTCCCCAGATTTAACTATGAAGTCATTATTCCCTCAATGATGCAGGGAGAAACACAGTAATATAGAGACTTACTACAGCAACTATAGCCAAGCAGCTAAACTCTCAATTAAGAGAAAGATTTAATGCAAAAGACAACAGCAGCCAGGGGTGTCTGAGTATCACGTCCAAACATAGCTCATTTTATGTGTTCCTGAAGGGCTGTTTGTAAATCAAACTTACATAATTCAAATCACATTTTGAAAACACTACTGGAGCCTGTACGTTTAAAGAGATCTTTAGTAAACAGCAGGATAGTAGGAACTTATTTTGTAATGAGAAGTACTGCGTTCTCATTCACTATTTGGCAAAGGTGGCTTTGCATGGGGGCACCTTTGTCCGTGGCGCCCCCTGTGAGCCACACAACGACATGTTGCCCAAGCAGCCCCTGCCCCACAGGTCTCCAGGTTTCTATTCTCCCTTCTCTCTACCAACTCATCTCTGTGCGACTTGAACTAACTCAGAGCTATTAGAGTGAGGAGCTCTACTCATGTACAGGTCCTGACATCCAAATAAAGGCCAGGCCTCCGCCCCCACCCTGGTAGCAAGCATTTGGGCAACAAGATTGAGCAGGTAAGAATACTCTACTGCAGGACATTATCTGAAGCAGGTGAACACAGGACAATTGTCCCACTGTTACTGAAGCTCACGGTGATTCTCTCCTCCTGGCCACATAGGGGACCCCTGATGCTAGCGATCTTTCCCCAAGCCAAGCTCCAGATAGATACCATCACCACTCCTAGAAAAACAACTCAGGATCTGATAAGGTGATGGTCAACTCAACCCAGATAAGCAAAACAGTCCAGAACACTGGTTTCCTGCTCGTGAATAAGAAAGCAGGATTCTCTATTCCAACGGATAAGGGGCTAGAAAATAAATCTTAAATATTTCATAAGCCAACCAAACACAGTTCCTTTGTTTATGTTTTTGCATGAGTTTTACCATCACGGGTACAAAATCTCACTAAACACTTGTGATTATGATAATAATCCTTGTCTCGTGAAATATCCAAGCACTCTACAATAATTAGTAATCTTGTATATATCAGATAACTATTCAAAAGTATTCACTCCCCTCCTCACCTTCTTAGGAGGAGTACAATTCCCTGCCCCTCGACCTGGCTTTGGCCCAAAGACTTGCTTTGTTAGCCAGTGGCATACAGACTGAAGAACCCTGAACCTAGCCCTTAAGAAGCCTCACATACATATTTCCAGTTGTCCTTGTTCATTCTGTGCTTGCATAAGAAGCAGATCTCCTACTTGCGTAAGAAGCAGTATTTGCTTCTTCTTCACCTTGCATGCCAGAATAAATATATATGGAACAAAACCACTCTAGCTGACCTACAGACCCATGAGTGAGACCACATAATGGAGTTTTAAGACTCTGGGTTTGTGGATGGTTTATTGTTCACATGATTTTGTCAGTGGTTGAGTGCTACACCCTATCCTCTCCCCACATGCAAAAGCATCAGGTACTCACCATCATCAATTCCAGGCCAGCCCATAAAGTGAGCAGAAATCTGTTTCTCATCCTTCCCATACTCATTCTTGGCTATGAGAGTGTAGTCCCCATTGTTCATGTGGGTGGGATTATCCAGCTGGAGGCAGCCATGGTACTCCGTGTGATTGGTAACATGTATTTTAGTACAGATGTATTTGGACTCATTCAATATTGCCCCGTTATAGAACCACTGAAGCGCTGGTTTGGGGTTGCCTTTCACAGTGAATGGAATGCACCAGTGGTGGTCTGAGGTTGGAGATTCGAGAAATGTGATAGTTGGTGCAACTAAATTGAAAAAGAGAGAGTTAATAGCATCAGAAAGCTCAGAATTCTCACCATCTCCAGATTTCTGTGCCACTGATAGGGGATTTAGTCAATCATTGTTTGGTTTAAGAAAACACATGACCAGTAACTCTGGAATTCATCAATATTCTATATCATCATCAAGGTGGATTTAACTCCCTACAGGGGGCTTCAGAGAGACCCCTTCCTCTGCTCTACTGAAGACCCATGCTTCACAGTCATTTTTCAAATCTATTCAGTGTAAATAAGAACCAGCTCCAAACAGATCCAAGAGATTTCTGATAGCGGAAAAGGTTCATTTGAAGTTGACTTTCGTTTCTAATATATGTATCTTGATATTATGTAGATTCATCAAAAAAATGAAGGATACTATTTTCATAGTACTGTTTCCCTGAATAATACAAATAGCAGAAATGACTTTGCAAATTTTACCTGAAGCCTTAATCTCACATAACTTTTCTAAAACAGATCGAACTCATCAATGTAATGAATGTCACTGCTGCTGATGATGATTATTATAAAGTATGATAAACTAATTTTTTTTATTGATTGTCCATAGCAAATACTCTTTAAAGCATCACATTTCATTACAGTATGGTCTATTTTTGCTAGGCTCCTATATGCCAATGTTTTAATCCTTTAAACGCCTAGGGTCCAGTCTAAGCCTGGACAAACAGACTAGAAATTATTCCAAGTTCAAGTATAAAAAGCACTTTATACTTTGGGGAAAGAAACATTATCAAGTAGTGTCTTTTAACAGAGTACTTATCCTGAGTGAAAGTATTTAAAATCCCTCATCACTGGTTTAATGTGGCCTAACTTTGATAATTATAAAATCAGGACTGGAAAAGACCTTTGAGATCTAACAGCCTCATTTTTCAGATAAGGAAACCAAACTTCAATAAGGTTAAGTGAGCTGGTCAAGATTAGTCACTGAGGCAGATCTGGAGTAAGAAACCTGGTCTGGTGCTTCCTGCAGTAGCCCTTCCCTCTCATACCCGCCTCTAGACTGTACATGTTCATCACACAAAAAGAGTAAAAAACATAAGGCATCCTAGCCTGGGAACACACAAACACTCTGAGTAGGGTCCTTGCTGTGGTTATCTTGGCTGTTAGTATCCTTTATCATTTATGCCTTCTACTCTTTACCTAAACTTTGACAGATAAGAACAATTCTTCAGACCATGATGACCACACAGATATTAACCTAAACTGAGAAAACATTCAAGTATGAATGTCCTTAATAGAAAGCAGATAATCTGACATTACCCTCTTGTTTGTGCTCTGGCAAATCCTCTCAGAATACTACCCAAGAGCAGCAAAGCTGATAAAATTGCCTAAGTCACCTTTTATAATCTACAGAAAGATTTCCAGTTACCAGTGAAATTCCTCATAACTGAGCAAATGGCATTGCCGAACTCTGCAAATGTGTATTGTAATAGGGTTCCTTACTTTTAAGAAATGTAATATTACTAAATTTTAAATTTGAAAAGTTTAGTTGTTTGCTTTATCGAATATTTCTCAAGGTCTCCTTAAAATAGTATTTGAAAAGTAAAATAGCTTTAATGTATGATTTCATGTATAAAAATTCAATGTAAATACAATTTGGGAGGACTCTCTATCAGTTACACAAAATAAGGTGCATTTCTGTATACTGGAAGGTCAGTGTTATGAACCAACCACAGCAAGGACCTTGGTGGGGTAGGGGCCACACTTACCTTCTTCCCACCATCCCAGGCCCCTATGCCCGGGGCCCACTTATTCCTTCCACCATGCTCAAATAACTTTTGGGTGAGGTGCTGATTGAAGGACATAAAGTTGGAAGTGGTTGCATATGTTTGGGGATAACATTGACTTCGAGTTTCTGAGTGAGTCAAAATGATGAGAAATTATGAGTCCAGTACTCACTGGACATAGTGGTGGTACTAATAATGACAGAGGATTACAGGTGGTGATTTCAATCATTCACTCCAACAATCACACACTAAATGTGTGCTGCAAGTGAGTGTTAACCATGATATAGACATCGGCTATGGCTATGGGTCTACACATGTGTAATTTGTACACATACTTACACACATGCCAATTCATGTTTTTCTCATCCAAATCCTAATCCAAACAGAGTAAAACCTCATTAATTTATACCATGCCAGCTCAAAATTTGCAATGATACGAAGTGTCTGTGTGTGTTTTACTGAATATACATTCACACTGAATGCCACAATCTGAAATTTTAAGGCATATGTTGTATTATTTATAATACTAGAAAACAATGCACTTATGCTTAACTAAGAAGCATTGATGTCTTTTATCTGAGTTTCAATGTATACAGAAATTTAAAACAGTTAGTAATAATTCCAGTTTTCTTCGGGTGATAATGATTTTCAATAATTTAAGTAGGACTCCTTCTTCCTCCTCACAGAAATTTGATGTCAAACTAATGAGGTTTTATTGTGTTAACAGATGTTTGTGAACAGCCAAAAAATATTTTAGGTATCATAAGCTTAAAGCATCATATTCATTTTATAAAGGAAAATTCTTTAGAAACTGGTTTAGGAGAATTTAAGCTCAAACATTAAAAAGAGGGAACAACCAGCTCAAAATAGGTTCTATCAGAAAAGGGAGGCACAAAATGACAAGCTCAAAATCGAAAAAGAAGCTTAAAAGAAAGATAATGCATGAGCAAGAGATATTAAGTAGAAATCAAACAAATGAAAGATTGCTTCGTAGTTCAGTATGCGTGAAACACTGCATATACTTTTTTAGCAAACTTAAGCAACACCCAGAGTGCCCCAGCAACAAATGTAGGCGTGTTCACGATCATTTGCTATTAAAAACACATGCCAGTCTGATTACGTACAATGCACAGTGAGGTTGACAGAATCTTGATCTTCTCCTACAAGATTTTCTGCCACACAAGAGATTTGCTTTCCACTGTCATCAGATGAAATGTTAGTTATCCTTAAGGAGCCCTGTGTGTTGCTTGTTTCATTCTACAAATGAATTAACAGACAAAAATAATCTTGATTAAGATTGATCCCAAAGTGACAAGATTTGGGCTTTCTTCTAACTAGAAAATATATATATATACAACATTAGAAAAGCTTTCCTGCCTGAGTTGGGCTCAGGCAAAGAAGTAAATCAGAAGTTACTCTATTTCTCTAGGTTTCAACTGCTTAGTGTGTGAGGTTGACTTAATCTTCCAGTTCCTACCTACCTTCCTCCAAGGGAAGAGACCACAAGGGAGAGTCACTCAATTTGCTCACGACGGCACAAAGAGCTCACTAGGGATATAAAGACTCTCCAATCTATTGGGTATGCAACAAACTAAAATGCAAAACCTGCCTTTGTTAATTAAGAATAAATAGGAAGAATATGTGAATCAAAATTCTTCATAAATTTCTACACATGGCCTTATAAAATATCAATCATTGCTAGGTTTAATACATTCTCAAGTTCTGAAACAATCTCATTGTCTCCCTATTAAGACAGAGACAAACACAAGCCTTACCATATGTTTGGAAACCAGATTACCAACATCCCAGTACATAATCGGAACTGGATCTCCTGCCACACTACAAGATAAGGTGATAGACTTTCCCTCCTCCACGGTGAGGTTAGGTGCAGTCAAGCTTGCAGATGGCATACCTGTGAACAAGAAAAGTGAACAGAGACATACACAAATAGTTAAATGCAGTATCAAAAGGATAACTACAAATCGAAAACTCTTTATGCTTTAAAATCAATCATTATTTACTTTCTGAGACTGACTTATGTTGATCTGTAAAAGTGCCAGGTTGATAAGCTTTATAGATTCAATGTGGACCAAAAAAGTGCTGTCATTAGATTTGAAAGTCAATTATGCACATTTCTGGAAAGTAGTATTGCAGAATAACCTTTTATTTAAAAAGAAAAAAAGTGCTAGTATATGGCAGTATCTTCCACCTCTTTTTCTGTTCTATAGTTACTAATTCAGTTTTTGTGCATAAATAGGCATTGTACCTGTGGGCTGACATTGTATGTCTTTTATGTCGCCCCACTTCCCTCCTCCCTCTCTGTCTCCTCCCCTCCACTTGTTTTATACTCATAAATACAAAAGGGTGAGAGATGCACCTATAATTTTTTGCAAAAATCTTTTTCTTGCATTAAATAACTCTTATGACTCTAACATACTACCAGATCTCGATTTTGAAAGAGTCAGACTATTGAAGAAAATGTACTTTCAAAGCATTTTTCAAAGACATGAAGCTTGAACTATTACTGTGTTAGAATGTTTCAAAGTTATATAAATCATGCTTAAATATTATAGGTAAAATTGGTCATCCTATTTAAAATATAATGGTAAAAAAAAAAAGATGGATCCTTACTCCAGTGAAAAGTTCTTTTTACGGGAAAACCCTGAGAATGTACTTGTTATCAGATGAAATTTTGAACCTTATAAACATTTTTAAATATTTCAACAGAGCATTGTTTTTAAACCTTTATATTTCAAAAGCTATGTGTTTATTTATCTATGCTGCTATCCTTTCATTAAATCATCACGCCTATTGAGTGTGTACACTGCTTTAAACCACATAGAAATCATAGTATCTCTGACATGTAGATGGGTCCCAGAAGGTACACCAACATGTCAGGTGCTGCTAGTTGAGACTGTCCCTCACTTGGTATCAGAAACTCTGCTTGGGACTGTCTTCACCCCCATAGCTAGTGTCCTACAGATATGATACATCATTAACTCTGAAGTAACCTGGAGGTCAGTAAAAGCAATTCATCTTTAACAGCCATTAAACTGCAATTAACCTACCCATCTGACAGTATCTGACCCATCATCTTCACATTACTATGCATAAACCCTTCTCTTATGATGCAGTCCTTATTGGCAAAGCCATCATTCTTTATCACAGAAAGGATGCTTGAACAATATATGTACAGTCTGTCTCATGGTATTCCCACCGTTGGGAGAGGACTTCCCAAGAAGATCCGGCTTTCGGGAGCTAGTGAGTCCTCCTTCAGAACTCTTCCTGATCATGAGGACCCGATAAAGAGCAATGTTACATCTTTCACAGGATTTCACAAAAGCCCCTAATGCCCAGAGTTGTACAGGGCAATGAAATATATAACCATGATTAAGAGAGAGTGCACACATGTACTCACCATCAAATTGGTATTAACTGATCAACACGTATATGCATATATGGTAGTAACATTCATTGGGTGAGAGGGGGAGGTGGGGATGGGTATATTCACACCTAATGGGGGCGGTGCACAATGTCTGGTGGATGGACATGCTTATAGCTCTGACTTAGGTGGGGCAAAGGCAATATATGTAAACTAAACATGTGTACCCCTGTAATATTCTGAAATTTAAATAAATTAATAAACTCTCTAAGGAAGCTTAAAAGAGAGAAAGAGAAAAAGAGAGAGAGAGAGTGCAGTAAATAGTATTAGCCCTGGATCCTATACCTGACACACACTAGCTGTGTGGCGTTGGGTGAGTCATTTTTGCCTCTTTTAATTTCTGTGACAATTAAGCTTCCTAATTTATTAAGAAGCATGTCAAGGCAAGACATAAGAAACAGGCTTACTTAGTGAAAAAAAATCTCCTTGAAGTCAGTGGTATGATCTGGGTGACAAAATGAAAAATATGTATTTCATTTTGTTTTTATCAATCAAATTTATAGTCACATATTTGAAGAGTCTATAACTCGACAAAACTTATGAAAAGCATTCACGCTACTGTGTGAAAAATGGTAGTTCTACCCCCCTCCTTACCCATGTGGACCTATTTCCTGTTCCCAAAGACACCCAATTCACCTCTTTTAACTGCTTTTGTTATTGATCTCCACTAAATTGATCATCACTAAATATCATGCTTATATTGCTACTTCTTGGTTTTTCTGTTTCAGCATTATCGACTGACCTCCCACTGTGGAGGATGAGAAACAGGCTCACTTTCACAAAAATGCCAGCCCTTCCACAGGGTGAGACCCACAGCTCAGGGTCCCACCACTGCCGCCTGGGCTGCACATATCTATTGTAGCACAGACCATAAATACCACTGTGTCTCCATCATCTAGGAATTTGGGTCATTTAAAAAATACTTACATGTCTATTCCATGAGAAAAGAGTGAGTCTCCTTTATTTATAGAGAAATTGTATCACCTTGTCATAGCAGTTTTCAAAGGAATCTGTGCAAAATTTGCCAAGTCTAGATCTTTTAAATGTAAAGTCTTCCACAAATGACTAAGCATCTGACTCACGTTAATGCTACAGAATTAATATGCTGGCCAAAGATTCAATAATGGAAAAAACAATCTGTACTTGAAATATCACTTGAGGTTTAATTAGCACAATAAAAATGAATCGGGAAGCATGAACAGCCAAGGCGGGATAAACCATTTGCCAGGCACTACTTCCTGGCTTAATACGATCTGAAATCGGCACAAGTACAGAGCAACGGCCAGCGATGCTTTCAAAGGCTGCGAGCACTTGCTGCAATGGGATCCTGATTCAAAGCACGACAGTGTCTTCCTTTGGGCATTCTCCTTGCAGATAAGAGACGACCAGTGTCCCAGGCAGAAGGACACCTCTGTGTCAATATCTCTTGATCTGGATTCATTCAGGGAAGACATACTAGCCTGCAGACCTCAGCAGAAAATCATTAACCACACAGTGAGAAAGCTGATTTTCTTTAGACCACAGCTTGACAAACTTCAGTGTGTTTAGGAATCACCAGAGGGGTCTTGTTAATAATGTAGCTTTTTTTCCAGTAGGTATAGGTTGGAGCCTGAGAAGTTGCATTTCTAACAACCCCCCCCCTTGTTCCCTGACACATTTTGAGGGGCAGGAATGTATACAATGGGTATTGGACATTGTTCACTGGGCTTTTGTTTCTACAACTATTATTCTTAAACCTGACATGGACCTGAGTAGTCATCTAGTCCACCAGACTCCCCCCAAAGTGTGTTCTAAGGAACTCTAATTCCTTAAGATGCTTTAAGGAAAAAAATTTCCAAGATTATTAAAAAAAGAAAAGAAACCCCTGTGGGGAACTATAGCTGTTCACAATGCACATTAACGTATTAAAAGCTCTGAGAAGTCCTGCTATAAAGAAATTCATTTAACTTTCATTGATCTTACATTCCCCAAGCTTGTTTGAGTACATAATCATTTCTTTGAGTTATGACATCTGTTGTAGCTTTGTTACTTTTATCTGAAGCAATTTAATAAAATATAAGATGTATATATTGAAACTCAGATAAAAATATATTTAAAGCAAACTATTCCTATTGATCATAGTAATAGCATTAATAGCTAATATTCACTGGGTACCTAATATGTGCTAGACTACATTTTAAATATTTTCCATTTATCATCTCATTAGTCATCCCCAAAATCCTAGAGAGTAGGTGCCATTAGTATTCCTATTTCCAGATAAAGACATTAAAGCTTAAGTGTCACAACTAAACAGCTAATGAGTGGGGGCTGGCCCTGAGCCACACCTGTCCATCCATGGCTTGACCAACACATGGTTGGCTGCCTTCTTTGCTGGGATCTGCCATGTCTCTGCTCCCACCCATCAGTGCACACTTCCTGAGAGCACACATCAGTGCACACTTCCTGACCAAATTGACTGAGTCCTACCATCGCTAATTTAAAGTATGTTGATCCTTGCTTTCTAATAATTGAGAAAAACTAATCTATAGTCACTTTGGATAATTAATTCAGCTTTGCAACTAATGAAATAGGTCAAGGTTGGGTTTTGTTTTCCAGTAATCACCAGTAAGCCTGGCTTGTATTTGCTCTCAGCTTGATTCCAGGATCCTGTGCTCTGTTCATTTCATGTGGGGTCACCATTCGATGTGTATAAAAATATTCAAGTAAATTATGATTTTGTCTGCTCTCTGTCTTCACTCCTCTCACTTCTGTTTGTGCACATAGAAAGAATTTAAAACAAATAAATACTTGACCTGTTAATGCTCTCCCCACAGAATATTAAAATTCTATAACCTACCCCTTTACCTTTCTATTTTCTTGGCGTATCTTCCAATTTCTTTGTCACCTAAACAGATATATTCCACAACTGGGAATGAAGCCAAAACGAGCCTGACCTATTTAGAAGTGCCTGCTTTACACCTGGTTGCAAAAATGACAGAAAATTAGCAAAATGACTTTCCAAGCTCAAATTGAAAATTGTGCTTCTAAGAGTATGTGAGCCATGTCATGATAGTGACAGCTACCACATACTTTCCAAACACAAAAAAGTAAACACCATTTGACAGATTAGAAGAAAACAGCTTCATTTGGCATTCTAAGAAGATAAAGAAAAACAACGATCCACTGTGTGGTGTACTTTATTTTAGGAGATAAAACCTGATTTCTAAGAAAATTAAAGCAAAGCAGTACACTAAAGTAGAACTTCTTTATGTTTTCTAGGAAAAAAAAAATCCAGCTAAGATGCTAAGAAAATAATGTTTTATATCATCTTAACTTCCACACAGAGCACTAATAGAGCATTTCCTTTCAATCATCTGTGAACGCTAACACAGTAGAACTACTACCAGCCTATTTTCCTGGTTTAAAGCAAACAAAACAAGAAGTATGTACAAATTTACTACACAGGCATATGTGCTACAAACTGTGGTTGA